TAATTAAATAAATAAAACTTATAATAGTTTTTATACCCTATTCTTACGTGAAATCAATTATTTACTTTTCTACGAGTATTGCATGAATAGAGGGAACAGAAAAACCCGTAATAATAGATTCAATTAACAAATAAAGTTAGCATTTAATTGAGACATACCTTTGACTCGGAATACGGTTTGGTTTTGTGATTTCGATCCGATCCGGGAGAAGGAGATCGTCTCCTATGGCGGTCACTCTTAGAGTCGCTATTTTTACGATTACTTCGGGAATCGTAATGAGAACTGCTATTAGAAGAACTATCGGAACTCTCGCTATCACTACTACTTCGGGAGTCGTCCGAATCGGAGTCGGAATCAGACGACGAATCGCTGTATTTATTCCGTTTTGAGGACGACTTGTGTCCTCGACTTCTTTTACTACTCTTTTTACTGTCTTTATTGTGACTGCGTTTCGATTTTGAGGACTTATTTCGGGATTTCTTTCGGGAAGAACTCTCGTCGGAATCGCTATCGGATTCGCTCTCAGACTCTGAACTATCATTACGTGAAGAATGCTTTTTATGTGATTTCTTTTTTCTATCACTTTTACTCTTCTTCTCTTTGCTTTTGCTCTCAATTTTATCAATTTGTGGTTCAATTTGTTTGGGAGAGTCGGGAATAATAGCGTACTGTTTCTGTTTGAGGGCCTCTTTGGCCGCCGCCTCCTTCGCCTTACGGGTCGGATCGAGAGACGAGCCCTCAATAAACTGTGTACTGATTCTCAACGCATTCTTCAGATTGTCGTTCTTCTTGTGGTTCATTTCGGCCAATTTGTGCGTCTCTTTCAAACTATTCATTATTTCAATCAATTATTAGTTAAAAACAATTACAATAAGTTATTATTAATAATCAAAAACATAAGACTCATTGAAATACTAAATGAGTATAAGAATAAAAAATTTTAATATTTCTACATTTATAAAATATAGCAAAAAATATTAAAAGAAATAATAAAAATTGTGATAATTTGCTTCAATAGACACCAAGAAATTGGACACAAATCGACAAATCATTCAAATAAACAGATAATAAATACATTGAATGAATGAAATGAAACGAAAAAATGATATCAATTTGAATGAATGAATAAAATGGTAATGAAATGTAAATCAAATTCAGACAACCATTGCTTACCTCACAATACTTTTAACTCTCATTTGAAGGTTTGTCTCATTATTGTTACTAAAAACGCTATTTTGTTCATACAATTGATTTAATCGCTTGTTTTTATTACGCTTTCGACGCCTTCGTCGGCGATAAGCGTTTGTCATCTTAAGAGTCGGCATATTATTAAATGGTAACTGAAGTGGAAATGCATTGCATTTCATGGAAGACTCGATTGTAGTCAATGTGGAAGAAGTGGATGGCAATGACAATG